AAAAAAAAAAAAAAAAGAAAATGTACAACTGAAAGCTTATGTTAAACAGGCAACTGAGAATGGAAAAAAACCAGCATCTCTGCTTTCTTTATGCAATATAAACACTTCACTGCTGGGCACAAAGTGACACTAGAGTAGTATGTTGTAACAAAATATAGATTTGAGATATTCATCAGGAACATGCATTGTATTCTTAGTTTTTTAATGGCATATCCAACCACCTGGTTGAATGAATTCTGATTTCTCAATGTGCACTTTTCTCTAAACTTGTGTGGTGTAAAGTAGTCCATTGTACTTATAGTTTTTCTTTTATTCCTGGAGTATGAGTCTGAATGTGCTTTTCTGAGCTGACTACAGACTGCCCCAACGGAGACACAGAGCAAGGCTGAAGAAATGCAGATCACAGAAGTCTTGGGCAGAAGGGGGTCTGACCGGCAGAGCCCTGCCTGTGATGGGGCCACTTGCCCAGTGTGTGCTACTTGCCCTAATTTCCTCCCTTTCCAGTCCAACGTATGTAACTGCATAATAAGTTGGAGGTGAAAATTGGATGCTACTTATCAACTGAGATTTCCACCACAAATAAATTATAAAATTAAGAGAAATACTCTCCTATGTATGGACTGAAAAATCGTTTTCAGGGAATCAGATTTATAGACTATTAAACTTGTATATATAACTCTTATAGTGAATTATTCAGTTAACACTATGTATAAAGGTTACACAATTGAAGGAAAAAAATTCTCACCATTTGTATTTTTTAATACAAGAAACAGCTACCTAAATATCAAGAAGTAATCACCTTGCAATTAATATGAAAGACAGAAATAGAACATATATTCGTTATAGCTGTTGAAGTAAAACATCAATAATTCTCTGAATAAGCAATGAATCCAAATTAAATCAAAAGGCAATCACAAGAGACTGTGCAAGCCATAGATCACTGAACAGAGAGGTCAGTGAGCTCGCAAAGCCTGAGATGACCTGCTCTGAGAAGCACACACTGCCTCTCCTGTCCTTCGCCTGGCACATAGCATAAGGAGCCTACAGAAATTCAGCTTTTCAATTGGTTCACATCAAATAATGGTTTGACTGAAATCCAGGCGTGACTTCCAGTGTTAGGAGACCATGCTTCCTCCAGTTTTCCTAGTCATGGCTGAACACAGAAAACTAAATGAAATCTCTTCCCAAGTCAGTAAGACTTCCTAGAAACCTAGAGACTGGGAAGACAGGGTCCTAAGTTCAATCCCTAGTACTTCAAAAAAAAAAATCTTAAAAGCCTAAAGGTGATTTCAGATAAGGAATATATAGGAAGGCCTTGTCTCCACAGAAGCCTGGTTGCTTATGCCTAGCTAGAGCCAATCATGAATTCATGAGCAAACAAAGACCAATAGCACAAGTAAAACCCTCAAAAACATTCCCCTAGCACTGGGGAAGCTGGAGGTTATGAGAAATCAGTTCAGACACTTCCGTTGCTACCCCTTTTTCTTTTACAGTCCCAAAGTCTAAATAACCACATAAAACAAACCATGGGAAAATAGGGCCCAGCTGCCTGTAGCCTTTGTTGGTGAACAGGACTCTAAGTCAGTCACTCAGCTGTTTTATTACTTGTCTTTAAGGCTGATGAATCCAAAGCGGACCTGCATCACTGAATTCTCAATAAAGGGTTAGTGCTTGTCCCGCAGAATAATAAGAACTGCTAATGACACCAATTAAGAGCTGTAAATGTCATTTATACTTGTTTGTTATTTTTCAAATCAATAAGGCTGGAAAGACACAGCAGCCTGAGATAATTTCGATTGGAACAGTTTGTGGGGACATTTTAATGGATATAGTACAATTGGGCTTTTTGTTCTTTCTCATTTTGGAGAAATTGTGTACCTCATTGAGTCAATTCTTATATTTATTTAAAGCAGGACTTATGCTCCAAATAATTAAGTATAATAGAAAATATTTAGGACAGTAAAAAAGGGCCAAATACATACATTTTAAAATCTGTTTATTAAATGCTTTTTTTGAAAGTGCACGAATTTTATCTAAGAAAATATCACTAAGTGGAATAAGAACAATTAGTAAATAAATAAATTCATGAAAAAGAAAAATATAGTAGGCCAGACTAGAGAAGTATATTTTGATGCTATGAATTATTTTAAAAATTGCAACTCTTGTTAAGTTAATAATGGGTTTGTAATTGGTTCATTCATAAAATTGGACAAACCATAAATGAGGTGTTTATTTTGGATCAGGAGGTAATGGGTCAGAACTCCAGAGATGTATTTTATTTCTAAAATTGGCACATTCTCACTAGGATCCTGCTCTCACAAAAGAAGATTGTTAAATGTTTTACTGACAACATTGTAATCAGGGGAGGACAATTCATTTCCCATGAAATCATAAAGTTGTACCAAGTATAACAAAAAGAACATCTTACCATAGAGTTGGA